TAATCTTCCTGGGGCGAGCTCGGCCGGGATCGCGCGCTCAGGTCAAATGGCAAGGTCACATGTCGTATCCTCGCCTGCTATTTTTATGTTTTTATCTGCAGTAGAAAGTGTGGACGAAGGAACGAAAGGAAGAGTGAGCGAATTACTAAGCGAAGCATCAAGGCTTCTGCCTTCCAGCACCTCTTCTAATGCTGCTTCAAATTCCACTTGTCCAGCTGCGATACCACAAAAAACATCGACTAGTTTTGAAAACTAGCTAGCTTTAATTTGTACCCTTATTCTTCTGATTGGTATTCTTCGTTTTAAATAAGAAACTCTTCTTCAGTAATTGAGCCTTCTGCGAAAGAAATTACATGCGAGTTTCGCATATGACTTCACCATCCTCTGTGTTGTTGTCCGATCTTAAATTGCAAATTTTCGCGCCTTCTTACCGTCATGGGCCAGGCCGCCCGTAAAGCATCCAACCGTCCCAGTCTACGGTAGAGAGCTATCTTAAATTCCCTAATCTTCTCCAGAGACCGGTGGATGAACTCATAGACTGTTCACAGTCCCCTATTTTCCCGTAAGATCGTCGAGATTTAGCGCTATGCGTTACGGGTTGTCATCTTGGATGAGTGTCAAAACTACAGGAAGGAAGGTTTCGGAGGAAGCGAGAAAAATAGAGGGACTGTAATAACATCACTGCAGCTCGCCTTCAGGAGGCATGACAGGAATTTTACGCCTTTTACCATTCATTCATTAAGAAACTCTACTGGCAATGAAAAACATGCCAGACACATTTAGCATTGATTTCGCGTGTTTACAAATATCTCCTTTCGAAACAGTGATTTTATACAGTTTCTGGGACATACCACAAATTAAAACGGTCAAACCCCCCGATAAAAAGCCAAGCATTTCTGACAGGTACTCTTTCTTGTGTCGGCGTAGCGTTAAATTTCAATTCATTTAGGAGAAACGGTGTTACAACATTCCCCTGGCCGAGCTGCTTCAAAAGCATGTTGGCTTATGTGATTCATCCGCAAAATGCCTAAATTCGTCTTTGCGCAAGATGTGCCTTATGCTATTTGTCGGGAAAGAAATAGGTGATGCTTAACTTTATTATTCTGTGATTAAATATTAATTAGAAATTGACATTTGTAGCGGAAAGAAGTTAGATTTCGTGACATTAGATTTCACAATAATGTAGACAAAGTCCGAGTATATTTACGATATAAAATGATGTAACTGCATGCATTTTCTTAGGCTAAATAAGGTGAAAGAACGTGCGATTTTGTAATAGACTCTTAATTTAGATACATTACAATGGGAACTTTTACTGTACATGTGATTAATGTAAAAATACTGCCTTACGCAAGGATAGTAGAAAAACCACTGTATACTTAGAATGTTTTAGTTGAGTTGATCGATTCGTTGATCGTTGAGTTACGTTGATCGTCGTGTTACGACCGTTGAATATGTGAGAGTTGTACATCGCAGCAGATTGTTGGATTGCATTAAATCGTGTTGTTACATCGAAAGATACAGTCCTCTTGATTTGTTTGAACCAACGGAGCGGGGTTAAAAGAATTCCGCAACACTATTATGAAAGTGTGCGTTTTATAGAAACGACGACTTGTCAAAGCCTTGTCAGTGTCGGCAGCTTAAACTAAGCCCGTTGTCACTTGACGCAAATTAACATCTATTGTCTAATTACCAATCAAACGCCTGCGTTGCTGGTACAACGCACTCCGTGAACGCGAGCTGCAGTGATGTTATTACAGGCCCTCTATTTTTCTCGCCCCCCTCCCCCTGGAGCTACATGTATACACGATATCCGATGTCCGCCCACTCGGTCATTTGAAAATCAAGATGGCCGCCATTAACTGTAAGACACGCTATATCACAACCGCTATCTCACGGAAAAATAGGGGGCTATGAACAGTCTATTTCGCTCGGCATCCCCTGAGCACGCCTGAGAGTTTCGTTGATTGTCGCCTGCGGTATCGCAGCTGGACAAGTGGAATTTGAAGCAGCATTAGAAGAGGTGCTGGAAGGCAGAAGCCTTGATGCTTCGCTTAGGAATTCGCTCACTCTTCCTTTCGTTCCTTCGTCCACACTTTCTACTGCCAATAAAAGTTGCAGGCGAGGATACGACATGTGACCTTGCCATTTGACCTGAGCACGTGATCCCGGCTGAGCTCGCCCCAGGAAGATTAAATGAATTTTACTTTCGCAGTTTAAATATAATTTACATTGGTAAGTTTAAAAGAAATTTGTCAACGTTTCAATTTAAAGGATTAAGTTAGAATTCAGCAGTTTAAAAGACATTTTTCAGTAAATTTTAAATGGGAATTCCAAAGTTTAAATTTAAATGGATAGAATGAATTAAACGAAAATGTCAAAGTTTAAACCATAATTTAATCGAAGATTAAAAGGATTTCCGTAAGAAATTTAAATGAAATTTCCAAAGGATTAAATGAAACTTTTAAATTAAATAAATTTTAGATGCGAGGTTTAAATTTAAAAGAAATCATGTCCAAATCAAATATGAATCAACAGATATTAAATATTGCTACATATGGGCAGGCATATACCACGTGACTTCGTTCGCTGTGAACCGCATCACTTGGTGACGGAAGTGAATGAGACCGGAAACGCAAAAGCAACAGACCGCTGCTAATTCCAGAGTCAAAACATCAGCTGCGGAGGGAGTTTTAAAGATCTCAGAGATCTATGCGAAGGCAACAGAGTTTTAATTTCAAGATTGGACATTTGTTGTTCAACAGTCTTCGACGTCTTAAGCAGGTTTGGCTTCCCTGTAGTCGCAAAACGCACAGCCAAAGACGCAATTGGTAACACTGTTGGCGAAGAATGGCGCAGTCGTGATGATACATTACAGTTGCCTTGTACGTCCGCTCTACTCAGTGTCACGTTTTATTGCAAGAGTACACACGACCTGTAAATCAATATCCGTAATAATTTAACATTCTCCAAACAAAACTAACGAGCTGGGCCCAGCGTGATACAGCATTGCAGAAAAACATTACATTCACGGATTAAAGAAAATCGCTTAGTCATTCAGATCCAGAAGGCACTTTGGAGAAAATTGGAACCCTTGTTCAGCCGTAATAAAAAGCTTCACGCTTCAAAAGAGGTCAAAGAAAATGCGCTAGTATCAGAGGGCAAATCCTGCCGACCAGAAACAATAACCACAGTAAATCGATATGTGAGTCATGACCTCTCAGTTTGAAACAAGCGGCAAAAATAACATTGGCTCAGTGAAAATGTAGAACCTTCCAGAGCATAATCTACTCAGCAGAGGAAAAAACTCTATTGGAACGAGCAGCATTTTGGCATGAGGTAAAAGTCATGTAGGCTTACCATCCGCTTTTATTGCTCCGATCTTGAGCACATTTACTTTACTACGTCATTTCCGTGATCATCTGTTGCGGTGCACAGCGAACGAAAGCGCTATTTCGAAGCCGTAAAATTTCGGTCGCCGAAAATGAATTTGAACGCTTTTTTATGCCATTTTCCTACAGTATTTGGCAAATACATAAGAATTCTAGATCAGGTTAGTAAAATCAGGGGATTTCATTCAATTCCATTTGAGTTTCCGAGGTTCGAAAATCGGCCCCAAATTTGTTTCCTCCCTTTCCGTATTTCATACTGCAAGCCGATCTTGCGAGCCCTCAGTCTCTTGGTTTGCGGTCTATTGAATGTGTAACGAAACTGTAACGCGGTCAAAATAACCTATTTTTCAGAGGTTTTCGACGGGTTTTGATGTTCTAATGACAAACACATCTCCTCTGGACCCTGTGCTACCGATGAATAAATTAAAATCTTTGTTACAGAAAACACGGAAAGTGACACTTTTTGTATGGAAGAGTATTCGGAAGAATACACCATTGTCATCTGAAATTCATTGTTACGTTAAAAATAGAAAAGGTTTACGCTTAAACAGGTACAGAAGTAACTGCAACAGTGTGAGGTTTTTAATTAAGGGGCAACTCCAAAACTAGTTCGTAAACGAGGTCAGGTGTATCTGTCGTCTAAGCATCAAAGCCAGGCGATTTAGGTGGAATGAGATATCCAAATAGGCTTTTAAGTAAGAATTTGCCCCTACTGTACATGCAATTATCCATTTTATAGTGCTTACAACGGTTTGAATCACCGCGTTAATTTTGGCCAATTAAAGCTTTGTACTGATGTAGAGAAGAATCCAGGACCCTCAGTTTATGTAGATGCTACAAAGACAATTCAAGCTCCGTACTGTCAAGGAAATGCATGCACTGAACTGCAACTCATTCATTTTAACGGTGGCAATTATTGGTGTTGGTATCTGCAGCATTGAGGCTGGGGGATATAATGTATTTGATTCTCATGCTAGAGATATGTATCATAACAGTCACAGTGAAGGCACAGGACATGTGTGTTGTTGGAAATACCATCCATGCATAAATTAGTACAATATTTTCAGACTCTACATAGGAATGAGGATATATATGAACTTAAAGGTGTACATATTGCCACCTTTGAACCTCATCTTTTCTCAAGCAATGTTGAACATTATAGTATATCAAATGTTAATAGTTACCAATGTCCCTGTAAACAGTGCTGCCCTATAGTTTTACAATATTTTACTCATTTAGAATTCAGGAATGATTTGTCTTACAGACTCTTTTATTAGATAGCGCTGTAAGAAGCGAAGCACCTTTAAAACAACAGTTTAACAACCCGTATGAGCGAGGGAACCGTGGTAACCTAAACGGGCTGCTGGACTTATTTGTTACAACACCCACGTTCTCATACCCGGTATTTACAAACATTTTATTGTCAAATACACTTTTCAAACGTACATCTGAAAGGCACGCTGATCAATTGCAAAACAAGGTGTCAACCAACACCAAACCTGAAGGAAAACATTTCTCAGTAATCACATTATTGGTAAGTTCAGTGGTGGTAGCAAAGGGCTGATAGGTCACCTTCTGCTACTAGGGAGTGTTTAGTCTGCAGTTGATTCACTTGGCACCTTTCTTTTTCTTGGTAGGAGATTTCTCAGACCCTGCTGACCCTGGATGTTGTGACTTCTTTGGGTGAGCTTCGCGCTTTGTGATCTATTGAGTAAACGTATATTGGTTAATAACCTCCAAATTGTCTTTTAATGGACGATAAGTCAGTTGGAAAGCATTCGGTCTTGTTGTGCCATTTTGGACTAAAAATACTCTATGAAGTCTATGTATAACTACAAAATAGTCTACAAATATAAGTATGGCGTCAAAAATTAAAACTTTTTCGGAAAGGAATATTCTTTTGTAGATGTCCTTTTTTGTTTAAAATTATATTTGAGAGACTTCGCATTAGGGTTAAGCCAAGAAGCCAAAGAACAGGACTTCCTTTCCTCGGATAAAGAAATAAAACTAGCCTGAGAAAACAGCCAGACATTTCGCCACACCACCAAGAATTTGCCCACAAAACGACGCCTAGGAAACGAGCGCAGAAATTCCATAGTGTCACTATCCTTATCAAGGTAAAGCGTCTGATTGGTGAAACAAATTTTTTGAGCTAGTCAGAAGCAGAACCCATGTTAAGGTAGTGACCCGTCATCAGTATAGAATTTCTGTGCTCGTCATCTGACGCAAGAGAGAATACAGTCTATACCCCTATTTCGTGAGGAAACCGTTGGTGGCGTCGCAAAATGTTGGTTGTTTTCTCAGGCTAAAATAACCTAAACGATTCTTCGATTCCTGTTTCGGCAACAGCTCTTTTTGTGAGGTTCTTCATTCTCATAGTTTAAATGGCTTTCACACACATCCCGTCCAGCAAATTGTAATTAAAACACAACACTTGTTTTTGCAGGTTGGTGAAATTTTCTAAAGTAACGTTTTACGGAGGACAATTTTTTGTTTTTTTTCGGCTCTGGATCTTTAGTGTGGTCCCTGGGAATTCAATTCCAAGAAAATTGGAGAGATCACTGAGAGGTCTGAAAGAAAGCCAATTCATTTTATCAGGAATTTATTTCGCTGCTGTCGTAAAGCCCCTTATTTCTTTGTCGATGGCAAAAGAGACGTCACTAGAAAACTGACCTAGCGTTCTCAGAAGCAATAACTTGCTTAAATCACATGGTAGTTGACTGAAAGCAACAACATTTTGTTGACTAATTGCAAGAGAGGATAAAGGGGACAGAGAAGACATCCCCCATACACACCCTATTCCATAGGTAATTCGTCTCGAGTTATTTTTAGAATCGGGATAAAGTTATCACGCGCGCTGCGTGGATGTTTCGTGGAGGTTTCGCATGACTAAACGCCGTTCAAAACATGTCGGGCAAAAGGCAATGAAAGCGTAAAGAGATCGAGAGCATTTCTGAATATTGAAACAAAATGAGTCGGCGCTCACCTGGGAAAAGGGTATCGCTGGACCCTTTGACAACCCGTGAAATCAGTTTAACTCGAAGTTGTCGTAACCTCAGTGCTTTAATAAAATGACAAATTTCGCCGGTCTATTGAAACCGGTCGTTTCTACAATAAAGCAAGTAGGACGCCAAGTGTTATTTTTGTTGAATAATAAAAGACTAATAAAATTAAGAATAAATATCACACCAGAAATTGCTCTCTTCAAACTGTAAATTATAAATGATCCTGAGAGAATATTCAGCGTGTTAAGGATTTCTCTGCTGTACTCTTAGCTCTATGCAAGAGAGGAAGGGCGATTCTTTTTTAATTTCCATTTCGCTGACACCACTTTAGCAGAAATCTCTCTTTAGTCGTTTTCGTCGACAAAACGAATAGCAATATCGCTCTCCGAGTCTTCCACCATTTTTTTCTGCGTCAATTCGTGAAGAACGCGTGGGTCTGAGCGTGGGTCATCCACGCGGAACACATTCGCGCTATGTGATTGGCTGTTGTCTAATCCCCCTTGGGATCTGTGTGTCTTAAAAATAACTCGAGACGAATTACCTATGGAATAGGGTGTGTGTGTGTGTGTGTGGGGGGGGGGGGATGCCTTCTCTGTCCCTTTTATCCTCTCTTGCTAATTGTTATACTGTCTTCTTGCGACTTAGGCGGCTTTAAGTGAAGACGGTCGGACAATAAAATCATCGAATGGTGCAAGCCAACGTTCTACGTACGAGGTACACCAAATGGTTAATGCAAGATATAAAGGGTACTTCTAGCAAGAAGCAGCGGAAATAAATATTTTTTACCCCTTTCAAGATTTTGTTTTTCAGTTCTTCTTGGGTCAGCGGTCGCTGCTCGTCTTCAGTTCCCGAAGAACCATCGGAATCATACTCGTCTCCAGTCGTTGGAGGAATAATGGAAACCGACGACATCCCGGGCTGAGGGCCCTGACCCAAAAGGCCGACTGCCACAGAGGGTTCATCCTCACGATCAGATTCCTAAAAAAAATTGAAAATAAAAGTAAATGGTAATCTGCTGCGAATTATGCACCTATCAATGTAATGCCAGCGGGGAAGGCAGGGCATGGGGTGGGGATTTGACTTTTTTCAAAAATTTGCAATCAAACTCCCTGCCCACGGGCAAATCATTCCAGTCAAATGCAACCAAATTTCCCAACCCCAGGCTGCACATTGCTAATAAAAATATCTCCAAATAAAACTCTGCAATCTTTTATAAACGTTACTGCATCACCAAAGATACACGTTCCTGTTACAGCTGCAATTATACGTTTTAACCATAATCCGTGTTACACTGTGTAGAATACATAAACCTTTAGGAGAAAGTCCACATTTTGTAAGTTTAAATATACCGTTCTTAGTAAAGGGCACAAAAAAAGTCAGTTTTATAAGTTTACAGTGATTGTAGCGAATGACCCATACACTCATCAATTGTACTTGCAAAAATAGACTTGGTTTCTCTTTACTTCCGTTTACTTTGATACCACAGTATTTTAAGAGGTTCAATTGATCATAAACACGCTAAAACAAACGCAATTTGAAGACAAAACAGTAAAATCCACTCAGCCTTCGCTTGTTGTCATTGGCCTCCATGACTTCCTGATCTTTTCAAACCGTACGGCGCAAGCGTGAAGCGTGGAAGTGGGAAACATATGTTCGGTCTCAGTCTTTTTAGTCCGAGTCGGCAGTCAAATATCTCCACGTCGGGCGAAGAAAGATTCAAATGTCCACTCCCCTGGGAGAACAAGATCAATCAAATGCCCTACCCCAGGGCCAACAAAGACAATCAAATCCCCACCCCATGCCCTGCCTCCTCCCCCGCCGGTTTTACATTGATAGGTGCATTAAGGTGGCTAGACTGGGTTTTTAAAGCGGGAAACCGCCCAAGTTTGAGCATTAATTACGTCGGCATGAGTAAAGATATGGGGAAAAGGTTACCACAAAATTGACTTATGCAAATTTGTGGCATTTTGCCACTGGTGGTCACGAATCTTTTTATTTTGTAAAGGCGAATTCGGAGTACCCAGATTTTTTATTTCGCATTCTATTAATATAAGAGATAAACTTTGTCATACATTTTGGCTAGGTATCACACATACCAAGGTGAGTTTTTTGCCTCTGAAGTTGCTCATTTTTTACCCATTTTAAAAAGTGCGTTTGATGGCAGTTTTTAAAACCGTAAGAAATTCAAAATCATGTTCATGATTTAAAACATACCATAGATAGAAGGTAAAGATAGAATGCTTTTAAACAAAAATATTTCTGTTTTATAGCTTTGAATCTTGCCTCGGTACAGACGCGATAAAGTAGGCCATTTTTACTCTAATTTTTGCATAATTAATTAGGTAAAAACCGCTATTTTCGTTTTTCCTCATTTTCTCGAAAACTATAGATTCCTGAAAGTTGAAAATATTTTTTTCGAAGATAGTTCCCCAAAGGGATTTTTCTGACCAATTATCAGCATTTTCGATTTTTTTAGCCTGGCCAGCGATTCTCGATTTTTACAGTCATGGGCTCTTAAAAGACTTTCAATTAATAACAAAACTTGAGAGACTGACTGCTTTTCTCACTTCCAAAACGGGGACAGAAGGCACTTAACAGAAGCGAAAACACCTTGCTACCCGCAAACACCTATACGACAACAAAAAAACTTGCTAAGACCACAATTTAAGAAGTAATAGATCAAAAACGAGTGCGAGGTTTTCATCAGGGGTTCCAAACGCCGAGAAACGGATGAAAGCACAGCGCCGAAGGCGGAGTGCTTTTATTGCTTCGAGCTGTTTGGAACCCCTGATGAAAACCGAAGCACGAGTTTTTGAGCTAGCTTCTCAAACTAGTGTGAGAATTTAGTGGAATTATTTCCGAAGAATAGGTAATTAGAAAACGTGCTCAATAGGCTATTGTTTGTTTCTTATTCGTGGTAAGTGAAATGAATATTTAATATGCGGCCATGCTGGCGGGTTTTTTAGTAGATTAACATTACGGTGCGTGATGGAGGTCGAGTCCGGATCAGAACGATTTCGCGTTCCTAAAACTTCTTTTCAAGAAAATGTTCTGGTGAATGACGCCGTTCCAGCTTCAACTAAGTATAAAAACAAGTGGGCTGTGAGCATTTTTGCCGAATGGCAGAGGTTAAGAGAGGTTCAAGTTCCGGTATTAGATTGTGGTGGTCTCTTCAAGGACTACGATTTACACAAGGTTACCGCTCTCTGAGCGCAGATATTGCCGGAATGGATGCTCTGTCGCTGAACTATTGGTTGTCAAAATTCGTGATGGAGGTAGCTAAAAAGTCCGGTGGAAGATACCCTCCCAAGCCACTGTTTATGGTATCATTTGTGCGCTCAAGCGGTATTTGGAGGAGAAAAATGGATCCGAAGCTTTGAACCCTTTGGACGCTAGTGACAAAAGGTAACTGACAACTTTTAGACCGCATTGTTCACAATCTTAAAATGCACTGTTTTGGGAATTGAATTTGGTGTGTTGCTTTTCGAAGGTTTGTCCTGTTCCGACGTTGCTTAAATGCCGAGATGAAGGATGGCGTTCGAGAAGGGCTTCAGTAGCACTTTAAGTGCAAGAAGGAAGAGAAGGAGTTTGTGAGCGAGCAAGAAGAAGCAACATTCTGGGAGAAGAAATTGCTGGGAACTACATCAGCTAAGTCGTTATTGAACACGATCTATTTCTACAGCGGAAAAGTTGAAAGAATAATATAATGCCCTATTGTTGTTTTAAGTAATGATTGAAGCGGCAAATATACTGTATTTAGTATTAAGACTGATTAAAATTCAAGTTTCTTGATCAGTGTCTTGATCAGTTTTTGAACTAATCGAATGTGTCTTGATCGGTATGTTCATTGGGTATCAAAATACATGCACCTGACTCAATTGATGCAAGCTGATTGGGTCATCAGCACATCAATAATTAATGAGTTTAAGAAAAAACTTGCAAACCTTGGTGGCAACGAATCCATGAACTTGAAGAAGTTCATTTGTCCTTTGCTCAATTAATCCAAGAAACTAAAAACCAAACACAAATCAAGTTGATTCAGATCAGATTAAAATAACCTAAAATAAGAATTAAAGTGCACGTCAAATGAAGAAAACATCTTAGTTGTTACCGAATATTGACAGATAAGGGGACAAAAGGAGAAAAAAGGAGGAAAAATTGAAAAAAGTTTTAAATGGCTAATGTAGGTATTTCGTATTTGGATCCCGCTAGGCCTTCTTTTAACGTTTTAGTTGCGAGTCCACGTCAGCCAACTAGTTGCTATCAGTTTCTTTTAAGTATTTACTTTTCAATTAAAAAAGATTGACCGATTGTTGATTGAACAGTAGAACCTCTACTGAAGGCCAACTTTACACAACGGCCGTGGCATTTTTTTATTTTAGAAAATCAAGCTTCGTGCAAACGAATTTACTCACGGTAGCTTCCTCGGTTTCACTTTATAACATCATTTTGTCCAAGCATTATTTGGTCTCTGTTTTTACGACATAAGGGACTGTTTCAACTTTGAGACAATATAGTGTGCACACTATAAGAAATGGAGATGCTCTACCCTTTTCCTATAAAGAAAGTGTCTACCTGCCGCACATGGCCAACTTTTTACAGCAGCCAATAACCCTTGTCACTGAGGGGCACTGAGGTAAACACTGTAGAGGGCTTCCATTGTATTAAATACGAGACTTAAGCCAAACATAGATCTGGCTGACCTTATCTTAGTAAACTGTGTAGACAAAAACTAAAAAATTGTTCTGCGGGCTAAAAGTTACCTGCATCATGTTGGCATCTGTTACCCCTGACTTTCCACCTAACATGTCAGTTATGGCAGTACGGTCACAGTTGATCTTGTTAAACAGCGAGTCTACACCTGAAACGAAACACTAATATATCTGTATATCTGAACAGAAGCCTTTACTAAACTAAGCAGTCATTTGCCTCTGACATTAAGAGTGGGCGCTAAATAAATTTTTACATTTTTCTTCAAGAAGTTAATTCATTTGAAAACAAAACAGAACGAACCAAAGCAGAATTGTAACTGTTCATTGAAAGTTTCTTTAAAATACTAAGAAAACTCGGCCTTCAGTCTCCTTGTCAGTAAGGCCAATTAGCGAACTCTCTGTTGCTTCCTCCTCGATCAGATGTCTGACAGTGCAACGTCTGCAAATGGGTCAGTCGCCCGAAAAGCAGATAGGTCTAGCTGGATAGATGTTAGCGGGGTGTATTTAAATTAGTTGTTTCTAAGTATTTGCGTGGAGTGCCTGTAAACTAACTGGATAAGCTAAGTGCACCTTCCACTACAAACAAGCCTTTAAACCGGCTCTTTTTAACCCCAGGGAGGAGGGAAGGGAGCAGCGTTGAGAGAAGACACGAACAACGTCTTCCTTAGAGGTTACCTGATTATTATGGCATTTTTTTACTCTAAACTACTTGTAGCTTCCATGCAGACGTTACCCTGTTAAGCGTCGCTAAATGGTGATGTGGTGAGAATGTACTTCTCGTTAGTTAAAAAAGTCCTATAAAAAATAAACCCTACCAGTTTGTGCCTATCGTTCTACGGCAAAGTTGCGAATTAATAAAACTTTTTCTAGCAAGCATTTGATTAAAGATCTTTGCGGTACAATTTTGAGAAAGAAGTTAAGTGTTGTCGAAGTACTTTGTGGCGAAAAGGTATGTCTGCATGGAATATAACAAGAGATAAAGTGGGTACCATGTCAGTCAATGGTAACTAACGATACGAAGAAGCTCTAAACATTATATACGCTTCCGCGTTTACGTTCTATCAAGATAGCCAAGGAATTGAGTTTAGGTTTTGCGGGCCAGTTGTCCAACTTTCTTACGTAAAAAGGCCTCTTACGAAGGACCTTTTACGTATACCTAGAGACAAAATCTACAAGTAGCGAATGTCTTTATTCTATTTGCTACAGCAAATGTGTGCTAAATTTAAACTCTGGCAGTATAACATTTTTAACAATACTATGAACTAACCCGATTTAAGTTGTTCAATGATTTTTTTGCTCTGTTTGTACTGTGTGTCATAGAGATCTGCCTGTTCTGTGCACGAACTCAAGCTGTTCTCCAGATCCATAAGCAGGGCCTTTCTATGGGTGGCCATCTCCACCTCCTCACTTTTAAACTTTTCAATCTCTCCTTGATTCTGTTTATATCGCAGTTACACAGTAGAAATAAAATGACAAACTTTAATAACGGTGATACAACAATCTTTACTACCAAATTTAGATGATACAACCAAGTAATCAAATAAAGACAATCGGAGGTCGTTATCTTATTGCACAGTTTAGTGTGTAGTATCGTGGGATATTTTTACTCATCCCTTGTATTTTGACTCGCCCTACAGGTACGCCAAAATACGGCGTGACTCGTAAAAATACCCCACAATACTACTCATTAACCCGTCCAATAAGAGATTTATTATTCAACTAGAGGGGTATAGAGCTCAGTAAATACTTATATTCTTAATAAGGAGAATGGGTGGCAGACCGTAACTACTTTACAAAACCCTGTTTTCGCAATGTTTTCGCGTGCTCTAAGCAACGTTGTTGCTGATTGCTCAGAAACGAAAACTTTTGAAACTGGTTTACTCTTGACTACTCGGTAGATCAAGAGCACTTTCCATTCAACGCAAATTCCGGATTGAAATTTCGGAAAGTCCACGTGTCCAATGGAAAGGTACATTCCGGTTGCACAGATCCGACCCAAGCCACCGCGCTTTTGGTTATTGTTCTTGTAAGAAGGATACAAAAGAGCGGTACTGGGGACAACAATTTTGTCAAATGGAAAGGGACATTTCGGTCCAACCAGCCGAAATGACCAGACTGGTCAAAATCGAACACGTTCAAAGGTGGTCCCAAGTCATTTGGTCGAACCGAACCGAACTGGTCCGTTCCATAAAATTCCCGTACGCAAATGCGACAGCTGTACGTGCATGTTGCAACCATAAAAACCATAAAAACTTCATCCCAAAATAACTCGATAAAAGCTCCTATCACGAACATCGACGCGGCTATTAAAGGAAAAAGCTCCTGTGAACGATTTTGAAGGAACAGTTAGTTCCCAGTACCGAGAAATACGGCTGCAAGTAACGCGGGTAATGACGTCATTTCGTTGCTATAACAACTCCGAAGTCATTGTAACCCTGAACCCTGATCATGAAAAATTTTCATCTTTATCTAATACAGCTGAGGTGGTAATTTTTCCAAATCTTTGTTAATGGCGACGTAGTTTATGCTCAGACTTGGGAAGTATCGACCCTGAAAACCCTATCAGGCCAATTTTTAGTATCATCAGCATAGGCATGTACGAGGGGCAAGTGCTTATTAACAATATTGAAAATTTTTCATGATCAATATTGAACAGCTTACTAGAATAAATGAAGAATAATGTTCAGAGGACCCAGACAACTGCCTTGGGGGACCCCAGAATCGATACTTAACCGGTCTCACAATACGCCATCAACTGTAACTTTCTGGGAGAGCTCTGGGAGCGATTTGATAAGTACGAGGAGAACCAGTCTAGGACTTTTCCAGACACACCAAATTCTGTGCATAGACGGTTTAGGAGAATTTGATGGTCAACCGTGTCAAAGGCGGTGCTGAGGTCCAGGCCCTGGTTGTTTAAACGTTGGATAGCGTTATCCACCGGATAGAAATCTATTCAGTGGATAACGCGATTGGTTTCCTTAACATTTATCCGCTGGATAGTGATTTATCCAGTGGATAGCGCTTTCCAACGTTTGAACAACCGGGGCCAGAAGGATAAGAAGCGTAGAGTGTTGTTTGTCCATCTTCAACTAAATGTCATTTTTAATTTTGAGTAGGGCTGTTTCAGTGCTATGGCTAGGACGATATGCCGACTGAAGCGTAAAAAAGAGATAATTCTTAACCAGATGAGTCTGAAGTTGTTCCGCTGCTGCTCGTTCAACTAACGTAGGAACAAATTTCAGATTATATAGGGCGAACGTTTTTGAGAGCAAGGTCAGAACCACACTTCTTTAGCGTAGGAGTTACAAGAGCCTCTTTCCACATGTCTGGACTGTCTGGAAAGACGCCAGACTGTAAAGACTGGCTAATTATAACACTTACCAAGGGCACGAGTTCATCCAAACATTCATGTTCTTTCGATTTTGTGTAAAACCGACTGCAAGAAGATAAACTGAGCAGAGCAAATTGCCATGGAAGGACGAAAATTCTCCCACAATTGAATTAAAGGAGATTCAAACAGCTCCTCGAAAACTACCGACTTGAAACCCCATCTTCGCAAGGAAAAGTCTTTACAGAACGTCTAGAGTCTACCATGTCGAGTTTTCTCAAATTTTACAAGAATTAGAAGAAAAGACTGTTCAGTTCCTCGTCGGGTATTGTATTTAATGGACGCTGTTTGTTTCACGGATTGTCGCCATCACGATCTCTCTAAATATTACACACATCCAGGTCTGTTTTCATCTTCTCTGTTGTATGCTTATTAAGTTTGTCTGTTCTGACTATTTCTAATAAACGTCGACATTTCTTTGTTGGTAAGGTGATTTTACTCCAGAAACACGGTTTTTATTTAATTTTACAATTTGGCTACTTCTCTTTATTTTCTTCCGAAAACAATGAGCACTTACCATTTGTACGGAAATTTGGGTGAAAAATTTCCGTCAAATGGTTCTAGTATTTTTTTGGCACCGAAAACAGGAACGGGATTGAGTTGTACTGTTGTACCATTTACAAAATACCGGTAAATTTTTCGCTTTCTCTCGACATGAAGCCTGGCACTAGTAATCCAAACAAATGGTACAGAAAATTTCGGCCGTTTCGTTAAAAGCGTTATACCTCGAAAAGTATTACTTTTTTTCCGGAAAATTCCCACCGGGATGAACCGTTCCATTTGAATTCTCCCCCGAATTTCCGGGTTTTCTATACAAATGGTAAGCGCTCAATGTATTTTCTGCCATGTGCGACGTTTGTAGAAAACCGGTCAAACCGGTCTTCTGGAGCACAAATACCGTGAGACACATTTGTACTCTTTTTGAGTGTTACTTGTACTCTACTGAGTGAAATTGAATATATTTATTCTTGCATGAATAAGAAAAGCAATAAAAATAACAAGTTCAAAAGATGAAAGATACGTTACCTCATTAATTTGTTCTTGCAACAGTTCAATTTCGTTGTTAAGTTCATTAACATAGTTGAAGAGTGCAAAGTTTTTATCTTCCACTTCAATGAATTTAGTTACCAACCGATCGATGTCATCTATACATGTGGCTTCTTTTATGGTCTGAAAAGCTTCCTCGTAAGACTAAAAAACAGAGACAAGAAAAGCCAAATAACATGGTGTATTAACAAACCCGTGCAATCATTTCCTAAGTAGACAAGTTTCAAGTAAATTGTATAAAAAACATTTGGCTTCCCATTGCAGGAAGATTCAAAGCTGCAACGCAAGCACTTCGTCCAAACGAAGGTTGATTATTTGAATAACTAGCTCTTTTCCATATGAATCAAAAGGGTCTCCTGCTATTTGCTATCACTTTAAAAAGGTATAAAAACTTGTCTTCGCATTGAATGGAATTTCAAAAATAATGGTGCAGTTTTGTTATTCAAGACTATACTTTGGCACTAAAACTGTTTCTTGTCATCTGTTGCAAGGGATGGCAAGGATGAACGTTGAGGAGAGGTTCAACTTTATATTATATATCGCTGACACTAGTTTTAACTAAAAAAAAAAACTGCATCTCTAGCCTGCCCGCTGGGATCAGGCGGTCCTTGTTCTCTTTTTCGTTCGGAGGCGAGAAGAAGAAAAAAAGAACGCCTGATTGCAGATTACAGCAACAAAAATACATGTATGTATGCCCATTATCATTTAAAAAACGTACCAAGTCAATATTTTACTTCGAGTTCACTTTTTAAATGCTCGCAGTTATTTTACCTCAATAGTCTCCTCTGCTTTATCACCTTTGTCTTTTTCATCTTTTTTCTTTTTCAGTGATGACAATTCGCCTTCCATCATTTCAGCTCTCTCTTCGCCTTTTATCCTCATGAACTCTTTCAACTTGCGATCATGTTCTATGATACGCATGAGCTCCTTAAGTTCAGTGTTATATTGTGATAAATCTTTATCAGCTTTTTCTTTTAATGCCATCATTTTTCCTTGTGCTTCATCTCTAAAACGTGAAAAGTCAATTGAAAACATAAAGCAAAAAGTATTTAAGGTATCAATTCACCCATCCTTTCATCGGCTCCATTGCTATTTGCGGTGATATATGCTGACTACATTGTACATCAAAATATCTAATGTAAAACTAACAAAACCGAGACCTGCAGAAGAAGTTCTGGAATGTTCTTGTTTCAAGAAAAAAGACACGCAGGCATGAGAAAGTAAACTGCTAGCAACAACGTTGATTAGTTTGTGGTTTTTGTGACATGCTTGCCTGTCCTGATCTTTGCTGTGATGGGTCGTACAGCGTCTCCTACAGTAAACATTCTTAAAATATGTAGCTGAATTCTAGCCTGGGCCACAGACAAAACTTTTACATTGTAAGGTAAATCGCTAGTTAACCGCGGTTTGATTACATCTGCAACGCGGGCTACTGGACTTTGCAATATGATTGCCAGGAGTGGGTGTAAAAGCTACACATTAAAACAAACTATCAAAAGACATTAACTTGGCTTGTTTTTCAGTCTATAATTATGGTAACAATATTCATGAAAATTAAATTCAGGTTTAATTTTTTTTTTTCAACCAAGGTTGATTCTTAATTTCCTTTATCCCCTGCCTTTATCTTGTAGCTCTAATTATTTCTAAATGAGGGCTACGACTCAAAGGAAATTAAGAATCAACATTAAGGTAAAATAATATTAGAACCTGGACTTCATTTTGACCTACAACATACTTTACTACTACTTTACCGGGCCTCGTAAGCTGTAGTTGATGTTTCAATACCCTCCATGATCTTTTGCTTGTTCTCAACTAATTCTCTCTCTAACTTCAATCGAATGGTGTCAAAAGTCTTCTTTTCTAGGCGCATATGGTCAAAAGTTTCTCGCAGTTTACCATTTTCCGACAAGAAAGTGTTGAAGTCAATATTTGCCTGAAGAAGAATGGCATGCAAGATGCAGTCAGCCACCTGAGATAATCTTAAATACAGTTAAAATAGTTGATGATCTTTTTTCTTTTGTTTTCTTTTCAACTCACATAAAGCAATTACAATGTTAAAGAGGGCAACGCGGCATACGTATGTCACAAAAATTTTCCAAATTGTAATTAATCACTGATAAATTCCCATGGATAAATAGTACTTTTACCCTGATAATAACTGATAATAACTTTGCTATATACATGAAAATGTGTATAGCAAAGTCGCAATAACTACAGCACTATTTATCTTAGTTTAGATTATGGAAACGTACAGAAAAGGCATCAAAGCAGCAGATCTCCAGTAATGTAATATTACTAAGTACTTTAATGGTGTCGTCTGTATTTAAATTTAAAGAGACGCTTATCTAATTTAATTAAATATCAATTGAAAATTATGTAATTTTTGCAGGCTTTCCGTGTGGATGGTTCAAAATTGTGTAATGTTTAAACATTTTTGCACAATAAAACTTTATAAAACCCATTAGTGCAGACATAGCACCGGGCCACTTACGGTTACTCGATTATCCTGAAGATATGTATCTAAATGTTACCTTATCTAGCCGGTTTTCAAGAACTCTGATGTATTTCTGCGTTCGTTTATTTTGCTGATGACTGTTGTGAACGCTGCAAAAACAACATGATAAAGAAAACTTAAAAAATGCCAAGGAATTTAAATTTTCATCATAAGAAGCATAAAAATCCCAACCCAGGCTCTCGAAAGCAGAAATAATAAAATTGTGTGAACAGTATAAGTGGAGTGTAGCGATAAAAACATGAATAGGGTGAGAGTTCAAACACAATACCACACCCAGGGTGATGGGGATGATCGAAGGGTTTTGGGGGGTTTGAAATTTTCGGTTCAAGGAATCTTTTTTTTTTTTTTTTTTGGGGGGTGGCTTGATTTAAGAAGGATTGTTTTTGGTATTCAAAACAATTCTGAATATTTGAGGTAGTGCCAGGCGTAGACCGGTACGGCGTATTTGAAGTAGTGTCAGGCGTATCCGGTACGGCCTATCCCAAGTACAACCAAACTTGTCTTGGGTGTCTGGAGTGTTGTTAAAATGACCAGATGCGGAAAAGATAACTTCAGATGGTATGATGAATAAACAAACACAAACATTCAATTTCTATTGTTTTTATTTTTCGTATTATATCATTTTATGCTTTCTGGAAATTTTTAAGGAACTCGGCATGGTATTTTTTTGCGGGATTTTGGGTTTTGGTCCCCCCCTCCCCGGATACCACAAGCTTTAAGTTTGAACAATTTCCACCAAAGTATTTTTGCACTATTTTTACTTATATTATTTAGATCACGTAAAAAACCTGAATACACATGCTGGCGATTCAACATTTTAAGGAAGCAACAAGCAAACAATAACTGTAGAAAGCCAATTCAATTCAATTCTTTATTTCCCACTATATAAGATATTTACATAAGTGCACGTAGGTAGAAATAAAGTAGCTGACAAATAGTAATTACCTAAAAGACATTAAGTTCATTTGTGTACAGTGTCCAAAGTAGCAAGAGCTTTCTTGTTGGACACCGTCATGTTCAAATAATCGGCAGCAGTAAAGAGAGGAATAAAATCTTAGATAGTATCAGTGATAGAACATATAAGCAAGGTAAGATTTGGTTGGTTAGAAGATAGGACTTCCATTCTTTCTTAAACTTTTGATATGGTAGACACTTGAGACCAGGCGGTACAGTCTCCCAGATTTTTGGAGCGGAGAATTTAAAGGACTTCTTACCTAAGTTGGTGGATACTCTTGGCCTAAAATAATTCAGCTTACTGACAAATCTTGTATTATGATTGTGTATACGCGATGCTGGAGTCAGGACATCAAGGAAAATATCTGGAATGCTATCAGTCTCATTTCTCATTCTATGTATAAAGCAACATTTTTAATTTATATATATTATCTAATTTAAGGATTATTAGGAGTTTGAAATAGGGAGCAGTACTCTCTCTAGGATGTAAAAAGAAGATGGTGCGGAGACATTTGTTATGCTTAATACGAAGACAATCTAATCTGGTTTTGCTGGCACATCTCCAAGCAAGAATACCGTAACTCTAATAGGGATATATTAGCGGGGCTCCCCCGCGCGCGAAGCTCGCGTGGGACAGAGCCTCATACTCATGGAATATGGTCAACCTCTTTTCGCTTGGTTGTCACGTGACTGACCGAGCGTACGTACGTACGTACGTACGCGTCTACAGATTGTACGGGTAGGGTAGGGGAGACTATCAAAAGGAAGCGAGGGGTGTCTCAGGCGTGTCTTGGCAAGTCCTCATCTTTTATAGCGGAGCTCTGCGCGCCAGCGGAGCACCATGGTTAAATAAATCTACCCATCCCAGAAAATTTGGTCATCACGTGATCGACCGACCGAGCGACCGTCCGTCCGCACCACAGGCATACCAATGTTTACTCTCACACTTTCTAGCTACTTAGGAGCCCAGGGGAAAGCTGATTGCACATCAATGTTGTCATAAATTGACAGCTGTCAAAACAGGGTATCCGCTGACCAGTATCACCTGACCGTATCGCGGGCTCAGGTGTCGACCCATCAACGTCAAGTATTTTTTGAAGTTATCCGCTGACAATTTACTCGTTTTCAAATGATCGCAGGCTCACGTTTACCTTTTTAAAATTCAAAGCAAACATGTTGTGTTTATGTCAGTTTCGCCCCGCACTATTACGATTTTGATTTCAAACTGACCTCAGACGCAAAAATTCAGCCAGTTTTTGTAAAATACAGGCGAAAAAGGCCTTTTCTTACCCTGGTTAGGTGTTGGTCACGCTCCACGTCCAATTTTTATGCTCTGATTAGTTAAAATTTGACGGGTGACTTCATGCGCAAAAATTTATGCAGCATCTTGAAAGTTGTTTACTTTGACAGCAGAAGCTGACAGAGTTTCGAGTCAACTTGTGATGTTTTTAACTGTCTTTTTCCACTGGATGTACAAAATGAAATAGAGCTGCTATCAAGAGTGTTCTCTTATTCATGATAATGCAAGTCCGTTACTATCTTGTTGTTTTTTCACTCTGGAAACAATAAAAAACTTTCAAGAAGAAGTCATCTTCGGTTTGTTGTGTTAAAATAAAGGTCAGTGCTTTTTACTTTGCCTATATTATTCAAATCGGAAAGTAGATGACAGGAAAAATCACGGGTACGATGTACTCATTTCCGACTTTGAACTTGAACTTCTTGAAAATGTTTTAGACTCAGTTTCACTGTATGTTCTTTTTACCGAACAGTATTAAGTTCATAATGGATAGGCCTGTGGAAAAGATGCATGTGAAGGAATTAAAAGAAATTCTCGTAAGGAAGAAAGTGAGCCTGAAAGGATTAACAGTGAAGGCCCAACTTGTTGCAAAGTAAGCCGGCAGCGTTTTTAACCCTGTGTTTTATATGATTAAATACACTTGACACTGACTTGAAAACCATTAAATGTACCTTTGTCTTTTGTCTCATTATTTTTTTCTGTCTAAGTGATTGCAAGTTTAAAATTAGCGTCCCTTGTTGATTTTTTTGTGCAGAGTGAAGGAAGTACTTCAAATGTGTACAGATGATCGCGGGCAAAATGATCAAAATAATCAAGCGACCGCCGCTGCACTTCGTGCTCGAAGTAAAAAGAGCGACTCAGATCTTGTTAGGGAGAATGAGGAAAAGTTTAGATTTTGTCCCTCTGAGAAGAATATGGATCAACTACTGGACGATCTTCCTCCATTCACGTATAATACCATTGTGAAATATGTCCGAAACTCCGGTAAAAACATTCAGCATTCCCCGGACTACATGGTAATGAAGCCTTTTGAACGTGGTGTCAATTTTTTTTATTGAAGGTTACCTTCATAACGTCGGGGCCAAGAATCACAAAGAGAGCAAAACCTTTTATTTCAGAGCCCTTTGCTACCGAAGTCTACGGAAAAGTGAACCCCCACATAAAATAAGATTAGCGATCTCAACAGAGCAACCTTACGATGTACTTGCTTCATCCTGCACCTGTGTCGCTGGATCTTTGGGGTTTTGTAATCATGCCGTAGGCCTAATGTATCTAGTTTCCCACTATTCCATGACAAAAGCTAAAATGATCCCCGATGACTTGGTTTGCACCTCCCTTCCACAGCAGTGGCATAGGCCTAGAGGGAAAAATATATCATCGGAGCCTTTGATGGAAATAATTTTCAAAAAACCTAAGTTAGGCACGACATGTACAGGTGAGAGTACCTCAGTTTCTGTGTCCCCTGGTATTACTTGTTCACTGTATCCTGCAATCAAGGCAGCCCCAACTAATGCAGAGATTGAGAGCTTTAAGGATGATTTAAAGAAGGTCAACAAGAACTTTGGCCTCAGTTTGTACATGAATGCTGGAAGTGAGAAGGTACTTACCAGGGCTGGTCTTGCACCCTTGGGAGGGTATCTCAGTTATCAAATGGCACCCACTGAAGGAAACTTTAAAGTGACGTGTAATGTAGACTTATCTAAGCAACCGGCTAGCAGTGAAGATGTCCCTAGAACAATTTACCCTTCTTTCCCGTTACCTTTGGTTTCCCCCTTGTTCATAGTCACTCAGTGCTCTTCAGAACATAATCAATTTTATGACTCACTAAGAATCAATGAAGAGAATGCTGCAGATCTTGAAAGGGCGACACAGTCACAACGAAACAGTAGCCGCTGGTGGACTGAAAGGAAACCAAGATTGACAGCGTAGACATTTGGAGAAATTTTAAGTCGAAAATCGATTACCAGCCCGTTTCTGAAAGGCCTTGTTAGCGATCAAAATGCGCCTGTCGACTCAAGAAGTGTACCAGCTCCCCTAAAGCATGGCATTGAAAATGAAAGCAGGGCCCTGAAACAGTATGAGAATTACCTTGTAAACAGTGGACATCCCGTAAAGACCTTTCCATCAGGCTTTGTTGTAAACCCTGCCTTCCCCTTCCTCGGTTGCTCACCTGATGGGAAGGTTATTGACGTAACAGAGAATCGCCCATACGGGATCATTGAAATTAAATGTCCGTACAAACACAGGAATGTCACTCCTGAGACAGCATGTGCCGGTGACAGTCAATTTCATCTTGAAAAAAAGGATGGCTTTCCATCGCTTAAGACGACGCACAAATATTATTATCAGGTTCAGGGGCAAATGGGAATTACAGGGGCTAAGTGGTGTGACTTTGTCACTTATACATTCAAGGGGATGGTCATTGAACGTATTTATTTTGATCCTGAATTTTTTGCTTCTATGTTGTTGAAATTGGAACAATTTTTCTTTAAGCACTATACTGCATATTTCAAGGCACAAGCAGTGCCAGCCGGAGCATGTGCTGTAACAACAGCGTGCACCGTTTTAACTGCTACTACAACAGCTACAGGCAGTATCAGCACGTGCTAAATAATAGGTCGACTTAATTTTTGACAAGAATCTTGATCTGAACTATTTAAATGCAGCGAAATATTTGCAAACAATTTTTGTATACTAAACTTATACCGTTTAATAGCAAGTATTCCTGTGTACGTTCTCCCCTAGACAATAACTCAACTTGAGTTTTCATTAGTGTACCTGTACTTGTACACCTCTTTACAATACATGTTATGAAATAGTTGGATTTTGCATGTTTGTCAGCACAGCACAAACAGTCCACATTTGCTTTAGACTACCAGCTAACGACAGTGGAATGACTTGATTAAAAATTTGGAAATTCTTTACTTTGTTTATCGCTCTTTCCACGTGAATACGCTCGGACGCAATTTCCTGAGTCGCAATAACTTCTGAAGGGGTCTGTTGACTTCTTAAACCAAGAAATGGGGGGATATTCAAGCCAACAACAATGGGCTCCAGAAGATCTGAAATAGTGAAGCTTTTGTCAGCCATTACTACATCACCAAGAGAAAAAGGTAAGCTGAGTAGCCCCGACCTGACAGTTAACTCTCTATCTGAAATGCTCCCAGCATAAAGTTGCGAAATGAATGTTATATGGCCACTCGGTGCAATGCCAATCAAACCTTTAAATGTCGTATGACTCTTGTACGTAGAGAAAGTTTCACTATGCAGAACCAAAGAGGAAGGGGTTTGACATTTGATTTCTGTCCCATCAATAATAACCCTTGTTTTGGGGTACTTATCCTTGAAAGACTGGGGCATTGCTTTATCTATTGTCTCTCTGTCTGGCCAAATGTTGAGGTGACCGAATTTTAAGTACAGAAAATTGATCCAGGATATGCAAATTCTGTTAATTGTAGATACATGTACCCTGAACCTATGGGCCAAATCAAGTTCAAATAATCCAAGCCTCATTCTGACAAGGACGATAAAAAACTCGTCCAGAGTACTTAGTTTCCGACGTCTGCCGGGTTTGTTTCCCCGGTTAATCTCATTGGTTGGAAACGCCGGCAACTCTAACTCGTCGTTCGCACTAGTGATGTCAACAATGTTCTCACCATTTTCCCCTGGATTTAGGAAATTGTAGCAAGCCAGTAGTGTTTGATAATTTGGGAAGCCGGTGTAAAAGTTGATGTCCGAGTCTTCACCCATAAATTTTGTTATTCCAAACTGGTTTGCGAGAAGTTCATCGACAGTTTTCGAAAGATGTTTATGGTGAAGTTGGAGCATATTCTTTTCTTGTTCAAGTTGAGCAATGTGCGCACGTAACTGGCTGATTTGATCCACATCACTTTCCGAGTTGCGGTCATTTTTGCTACTGCAGGATGGCTTCTGATCATGAGCTACGGAATCGCTTGGTGACCTCTTACGTGGTGATTTTCGCTTAGGGGATGCTGCCGACCATGAAAAGATAGAGGGAATAGCATCGTCCTTTAAATATCGACGACCAGTCAAGGTTACACGAAAATCAATTATCTTGAAATGCAAGGAGCAGATTTTGGTTCGTTCGGTTATCTGAAATGCTGGAGATACGTCTCGTCGAATTTTTACAAGCCACTCCTGAAATATATGTCGTATCGAGAAATATCAGAAATCTGAAACGATAGGTTTAATAAACGATAATATTGACAGTAGTATCTTCAGTCTTACAGCATCCGATGGAAGGCAATGATACGTGATCTTTTTCCCATCCGGCCCTACACGATAACCACTCTTGCAGCACAAAGGCACGCAACAACTATCCGGCATGATACTATTTACAAATGTACAGCAAAAATGGCATGCAATCAACTTCTAAAAATTGAAGATCAGCTTTTAGAATGATAATTACATGTGAACCTTAAATACAATGAATGAAAAATATCAGGCAGTCAAAGTATCGCGATCGCTACAAATGACTCTGTCTGTGATCGCTGTGCGTCAGTTGATCGTTCAATTTAGCATAGAAAAACAGTATCCAAAGCGTGTATACCAGATTTAAACCTTTCAGCGAAGAAAATTGACTTATTTTTGTCGAATTTAAAGGAAAAGACGTCTGAGAAGCTGCAGTCTTTCCAGCAACGGCACGGGTAAACACAGCAACCAGCCCTTAGCAACGGTTGCTACCGAAAAGCCTCGCTTTGGTGAAATCGTCGCCATATTTGCAATCGGTCTATCCGATTTCTCAAAAGTCACATGAATGTGCCCTTAAGTTAACTAATTTGTGGAATACAAAATTATTGTTTGATTTAAGTTATAAATTTATCAATGGGAGCTTCGCTTTTAGCTGTGGCTAAATCTATATTATATGACACTCACAATATGGTCAATTGACAACTGTCAAAACAGGATAGCCACTGACCAGTATCCCATGACCATATCGCGGGCTCATGTGTCAAGTCATTGAGGTAACGTGATTTATTTGGAAGCTGTCCGCTGACCAGTTAATTGTTTTACTAGATAGCGATCAATGTTCAATCTCATACTTTTTAGCTAGTTTGCGATCGGAGCACAGGAAAACCGATACACATATTGGACATCAATGTTGTGATCAATTGACAGCTGTCAAAACAAGGTATGCGCTGACCAGTATCACTTGAGCGTGTCGACCCATCGAGGTCAAGTATTTTTTTGAAGTTTTCCGCTGACAAGGTACTGGTTTTCAAATGATCGCGGGTTAAAAAAGTAATCAGATTGAGGGTTAATTAATATATGATCAGGGTCAGCATCATCAGATTTATCAAGTATTTTTTGAAGTTATCCGCTGACAAGGTACTGGTTTTCAAATGATCGCAGGCTCAAGTTTAATTTTTTTTTTAAAAAATTCATATGAAATATGTTGTGTTTATGAGCCGCACAATTAAAATTTTGATTTCAAACTGACCTCGGATGCGAAAATTCAGTTAGCTGCTACAGGCAGGGAAGACAGCTGCTTTTGACTTTTCTCATCATGTTCACGCGTTGGTCACGTTCTACGTCAAGAGCCATAATAGGACAGAGAGGGACACTCCCAGTCACGCCTTTGGGATATCTTGATTCCAAAAAAGTTATTTTTAGAACTATGCGGACCATGCGGAAACAGTTTCCGGTAACCTGGTTGACTTCCGGAAGATTCAGCTCTTGGTCGTTCACATAGTGCAAAAATAAAAGAGGACCTAGAGTGGAGCCTTGGGGTATACCGCAGGTAATATTTTATAGCTAAATTTAGTAGAGTCAATTTTAACATATTGTCTTCGATTGTGCAAATAACTTTCAAACCAATTATGTGGTGTAACCCGAATTCCATACAGATATAGTTTAGAGAGCAGTATTTTATGATTTACTATGTCAAATGTCTTTGATAGGTCGAGAAATAAACCACATGTTATTTGACCTTTGTCAGTAGCTAGCTTCAGATTGTCAGTGATTTCAAGAATAGCTTGTTCTGTGGAATATCCTTTCCTAAATCCAAACTGATATTTGTACAAGATTTGATGTTTATCTATGAACGAATATAACTGATTATAGACTAGACGCTCGAGCACTTTACTAAAAGGTGAGAGAGTTGCTATGCGCCGATAGTTGCTAGGGTCTGTAGCATCACCACCCTTATACACTGGCGAAATTTGTGAGACTTTTAAAATATCAGGAACAATTCCAGTTTCAATAGACTTGTTATAGATATATGTTAAAGGTATTGACAATGGCTGGGCAGCTATTTTAATTAATTTATTACTCAAAGGAATATCTAAGGATGACTTATGATCATTTAAACCTTTGAACAGCGAACACACTTCGGTTTCAGTGACACAGGACATGACAAAGCTACTGTAGCTACTGGAGTCAATCTTATGAATTGGGTCGGACTTTCATCACAATTTTCAATTCTTTTGGCCAGGTTTTGACCCACATTGACAAAATGCTTATTAAATTGATCAGCGATCTCAGCCTTATTAGTGTGAGCTCTATTGTTACGTTTAATTTTCGAGATGGGGGTTTGTCCCTTTGAGTTGCGCTTAACTAGCATACCAATCAATTTCCAAGATACCTTCAGGTTGTTTTTACATAGGTCAAAGTGTTGTGAAAAGTAGGTCTTTTATATTCCGTCACCTTAATTGGATTGTTAGAAAGAAAGTGTGTATTGTATAATTTAGGCTTAGTTTTGTTTGATTTAAGAATGCCATTAGTTATCCACAGCTTAGTACACAATTTCTGTTTCTTTTGGGACAATTGCCTAATTGGTGCATGTTTATCAGAAACTGATTTAATCAGGTCAGTTATTTTAGTAGCTGTCTCATGCAGATCATTACTATAGATAGCATTCCAGTTGACTGCATTGATATCCTGTAAGTAAGATTCTTCATCAAAATTGCTGTAATCTCTATAATACTTAATAGGGTTGTGTTTCTTAACTGGTATATTTGTAACACAGACAACTGGGAGGGGATCAGAGATATCCACCATTACAATCCCAGAGACAATTTTGGATGTACTGTTGGTATAGATATGATCAATTAATGTAGCTGAATGATAGGTCAGACGTGTTGGTTTAGTAATAATTGGTAATAAATTATTGGAATACAGCATGTCAAGGTAAGCCTCTGTAGGTGGGTGACTATTTAAAAAAGTCTTTATTATTATTCATTGAAAATATTTCCCCGATTCTGATTGGCTAAAAGCACACGTTTAATTCACCATAACTAGTTACTGATGACCAAATTTGGAAGAAATTTGACTTTAACGAGGAAATGACGCCAACAATGCAGCGTTTTCGCAGGTTAAGGCACCGTTAACCGAGAAGACCTGGGGACGAGGTTGAGTTGTTTTGGTTGTGAACTTGAAAAAATGACGGACATTTCACTCGTTTCAAGAGTAAGAACTAGACGAAAAAATAGCTAAAGACATGGCAAGAACAGCAAGAAGACAACTCGAAGGGCGACATCTGCTATTTGGAGAATATTTGCGGAGCTGGACAAACCTAAACGTACACTATCGAAGATGAACTGAACATCGATGGATCGACGGAGGTAAGCATGTTTTAGCTATGTTTTTAAACTAGGAATTATTTTGAACGAATAATAAAACAATTATTGAATTCGGCTTTCGTATCATGAAGAATTATGAAGATCTCGGAGGGTGTTATCCGCCTCGGCCGTAACACCCTCCTCGATCTCCATAATTCTTCATAAGATACTCAGCCTCATTCATTAACTGTTAAATATTCTATATTCATATTAAAAAAGTCTATATTCATATCACCAAGGATATACAATTGGTACTTGTCTGGGTTAAATAGCTTCATTATTTCGTCAAGTTTCCCATTAAATTAATCAATATTCGCACCTGGATGTTTGTAGATACAGCCAACCAAGATGGGTTTTTGGTTTTTGGGAGTAGCTATTTCAGCCCAAACAGATTCCACAAGGGGCATATCCAAAGTTATATCTGACCTTGGAAATGATGTTAAAGCTTTACTGAAATAAAGAGCAACCCCTCCCGCCGGGGTGGGAGAATCAGCTTGGTAGATGTTATAGTTAATCAACTCAGTCTTAAAAGTGGTATTTGCATTTAGCCTGGTTTCAGAAACTCCTAATACATCAGGCTGTTCACTTAAAGAATACAGCATATCTTCAAGCAAGCCAATATTTTTTGACAGGCTTCTAATATTACAATGAAGAAATGAGAAGGATTTCGCTCCTGATTTACTTAGAGCCTTATTCAAACTGGAAATATCATAGTAATCAGATTGAGGGTTAATTATTATATGGTCAGGGTCAGCATCATCAGATTTATCAGGGTTGGGTAGCAAATTATATAAATCTAAATCTTTTAAATTATCTATCTGCAAGTGACAGGATCCATCTGGAATATAAAATTCTCTGCCATCCAGGTCATGAAAAGGTAAAGCTTGCAGGCTATTTTGGGGATGATTGAGGTTGAACACGTATGTGTCTACAGGTTAGATATTATTATAGGGCACGTAAGTGTAGGGAAGAAAAAAAGAATTACGAGTTATTGCTTATCTGTTCGATGTAGTCTTCGAATTCCTCATGTGTAACAAACGATTTGGTTTCTGAAGAATCATGAGCCTTCAGCATGATCTTTCCACTTGCAGTCCATAGGTATTTATAATTGTTCTTTCCCTTGAAGTGAGAGATTCATTGATGTGGATTTTATTGTTGCTTGTAGCAGCGAGACCCATTGCGGCTTGTACGGGCGGCAAGTTGTTAATATTCTTTCCAATTAGATTCCTGGGTTTCTTTTACATTTCTTCTCTTTTATCACTATGTACGAACTTGACAATCAACCGATGCTTAACACTCTTGGTGTCCGGAAGCCGGTGAACTCAGCTGCTAGGTGAACGTCATCAACATTTACATCAATAAAAGTACCAATTTCTTTGATAAGCTGCTTTGGACTTTCCTCCGGCAGTATTGGAATGCCCGTTATTTCCAGACAGTCTCTTCGAGAGTATTGTTGGACTTCGTCGATTGCACCATCAATTCTGACTGCCTGCTCCACACGGTTGGCTCGCTCGGCCAAGCTGTCGGCGATCTTTGTCAGCTGCGCATGCTTTTTCCCCAGCGTGTTTGTCGTTTGGTTCAACGACTTTAGCGTTTTTAGAACAGACTCGTACTTTTCCGATATAAAGGACAGAGATTTCTCTATCCCGTTATCACGTGCTGTCAAGGTCTTAATGCTTGTTCTGAGTGCTTCGAGGTCGCTTTTCAATTCACGCTTAATACTAGGTAAAAATTCTTCCTTCCAAATTTTCCGTAAGTCATTAACATTCAGATAACCTTTCGCATCCATCACTATGAATTAACTCGGAAATTAAGTGGTTATGATAGGTTCAATTCACTTTCATGCTCATCACCAATTCGCCATACTGCCAAGAGGAACTATTAAGATGAGAAAATTTCACACTTACCCTCCCATATTTTTTCTTTGTTGTTTAATCTTCTTCTCAGTGACTCTTATCTGCAAAATCATAGTAAAAACTATAAGAAACCCATGGATATTTGTTTAGAAAATCCTCTTGACCCTCCTACAGACCTTAAAGCTTTTGCGTCGCTGTATCTCAGCTACAAACAAAAAACACACCAAACAACTACCTGCTACGCAGGCTGTAGTGGTAATAATTTAACCCCGGTTAGTAACCAGAGTTTAGTTTCGTCTGTGATAAAGGCTACTACCAGTAGAAGAGAACCGAACTGCTCGCAAAGCAGAAGAAGGCACAGGTTGTACATTTCAACGCCTTGATAAACAATTTCCATGATCAATTTGATTACCCGCTATGAGTCCATGTATGCAATTCATTTTAAGCGAAAAGATTACCGAGAACTAAGCAAGATTTATGCTATGTTTGAAATACTTGTTTGAGTAAACAAGTGTTGTAAGCTAGACCAGGTCACACATTTAAAAATAACGGTCTTGCTGCGAATTCCCAATTAAAAATGAGAATTTAACTGCAGGATATAGCAGAAGTTAACACTTCTCACATGTATACACTACTAATGCAAATAACGTTTCAGCAAAAACCAAGTAAGAAGCCACAATAACATCATAAGCAACAGTATTCAATTTCATTTTCGAGTCAAAGCATAACCTTGAGCATGATACTTGACATTTACAGAAATTTCAGTCAAGAAAAGGCCTTACCGTCTTAGGATTTTTCCACCCCTATGCATAATTAGCTGGATTTTCAGCGAGCAGACTACAATCCATACTGTTCGGGAATATCCACATTCACAACATTCACAATAAGAGGACTGTATATTTTATTCCCAACTTTTCACCTTCGACGTACACGTTATACAGTCATACACTCAACAACAACATTCCACAATCCGCCCTTTCTTCTACTATCACTTATCCTAAATTCAGCAAATACAGTTCTAAGGTTTCAGCAACACGCAATACATATGAGAAACAATGACTCTGTTATATGCCTCAGCTATAGATTATGGAATACAACTAAGCATTTATCTGTCAATATAAAATCATGTCATGCAGTCATTGATATCCGGTTTAATCCATCGCGTGCAAACTCTAGCGATAATTACAATTTCGTGTCATTTCCCTTAAAATCACGCAATGGAGTGCTCGTTGCGTTACAAAATGCGTACTATTTCCAACACATACTTCCACTCCTTGCTACTTGTCTGCAAGGGGAGATTTATTTCCGGTCTTCTCTCCACCCGAAAAGTGGAGAGAAGCGACAACAGGAAACACATCTGCATTTGCAGGCTACCTCGCTACTGGCGGCGCGAAGTTTGGGGTATAAACAATACCACGCCAAACGCGCGATTTATCAGCAACGCTCTCTTGTCATGTTACTGGAAATTTAAACCGTCCACTCCTTATGATCGAGATACTGGTATACATAACCTACCGAGCTGATAGAATCGACAGGAAGTGTTGCTTTCGAGGCGAACGTGCACGTGACAATCTCCTTCCCAGGGTTCTCCTTGCCTAGTTCCTAGGCCTCGATAATAATCGATAGTAATCGATATCAGTCATCGATGAATTTCGATTTCCGATATCAATCGATAGAAATCGATAAAGAAAAAAAGTGACGTCGATTTAAACATATCAATTTCCGATATAGAAATCGACAATGACTTTCTATCGATTGTTATCGATTTTGTTAATCCATAATATTCGATAAATTATTTTTTCTGTGACTTCGATTTCTATCGATTTCCGATATAAATCGATTTTAATTGCAATTGGTGGATTAAATCGATTGATTTCCAATATCGATTTTAATCGATTAACTACGTCTGATATTTAGTTCAGGTTATGAGATCATCATTTTGTTGCGATTGAGAGAATATAAATGAGGTTTGGTGGGTGTTTCTTTTTGTATTTGCTCTAGTATGATATTCCCAAAATAATATTAAAATACCTTTAATTAAAACCCAAATCTTACCTGTTCATCTAGGGTTCTTATGTCTTGATTCACATCATCCAGCTGCACCTTTAACTCATCTTTAACAAACAAAGAAGAGTACCTTAAATTACTACAGCCAGGTGTCGCTATGAAGTCACCAACAGTGTAAGAGTTATACTTATCATGATCATATTTATTTGTCTGTGTACCATGCGTAACCTACAGAATTTTAAACCGAAGAACAACAGGGGACTCTTTTGGAAAAATAACTTTTCACTCCCCCAAAGGCATTAGTACTGTTGATTATTTCATTGTACGCCAAGAATTAATAAACATGTGTGAAAACCTCGTAGTTAGGAACCAACAATTTTCTCAGATCATCCTCAACTCATTTGCTGGGCAACCATCTCTGCGACAGCATCTGCCCCACCATTTTTTGAACCTCAAGTACAAACATTTTATCTTCCAAAACAATTCATCTGGAATGAAGATTCAAAAGAAAAGTTTATAAACGTTCTAAAACGAGATGATTTACTCTGACGTTTATCTCAATTTGAAACAACCACCTTTACTACTGATAGTGAAGGTGTAAATTTAGCTACAGAACAATTCACAGATATCATAAATGATATTTGTACCCAGTCCCTTAGACTAGCAAAGAAAAAAATAAAACAAAAGTTCATAAAAAGTGGTTTGATTCGGACTGTGCATCTCTTAAGAAAACAGCTAAATTTACTTTTTTAATAAAAAGCATAGAAATCCATTTGATTTAAACCTCAGACATGATTACCACTCCGCAAAGAAAAATTTTAAAAAACTGATTACGGTAAGCACAAAAAATTGAAACTCTTTCACTCTCAAATTGACGACCTTACCCAGAACAAAGACAAACAAAGTTTCTGGACTTTCTCAAAACTCTCAAAGAAAATCCAACCTTCCCCTCAAATAATCAAGATATTCCAGTTGACAATCTTTTTAAGCATTTTAAACAATCTCCCGATTTTTCCTGAGGGAGTGGGGACGTCTGTACACAGGCTATAAACAATTACACTCACACTCAAACCCCTCCTCCCTTCCGTTAGACCAAATCTCGTTCAAGGAAAATCTTTCTAATTTAGAACAAACAAAAGACATCCACAACGTTCTAGATAGCCCTACTTCAATTTCTCAAATAGAAAACATGGCGAAATCACTGAAACCTCTGACAAAATCCGCAATGAAATGTTAAAAACTGGTACAAAATTTTGGAACGTTACCCTTTTCAAGTTATTCAACCTAATACTTCAGAGTGATTTCTTCCCTTGATTTAGTCTTGATCTCTCAGTCGGCTGAAGGACTAGAAAATGCTCTCTCCATTCTTTCAGGGTATTGTGAACATTGGCTTTAATCGGTGAATCCAAAGAAAACTAAAATTATGATCTTCGAAAAGAAATATAGGAAGTCGACTCTTATATAATTAATAAACACTGTTTTCCTATCAATAGGCACAACATAGAAATTGTCAACAATTACACTTATCTTGGAATCAATTTTTCATCCAATGGAAATTTCAAAGTTTGTAAATCAAATTTAAAAGACAAGGTAAGGCGATCCTCGCGTAACTCGTCTTTATCTAGACTTCTCAAAAATACCATCCGATACCACAAATAAACTTTGTAATTCACTTTTTCAACCCATTTTCCTCAATGGTTCAGAGGTATGGGGTATCTATGACAAAGATATTATTGAAAAAACACATATCTTCCTTTGTAAACAGTCACTAGGAGTAAACAAACGATGCTCAAACGTTGCTGCCAGAAATGAACTCGGAGGGTTATCTTTGAGTTAACCATAGATATTAATATTTTAAAATTTTGGATCCATTTACAAAACCTGCCAGACGATAATATCGCAAAGCAGTGTTTAAACTTTCAAAGATATGGTTGAGAAAAATCAGCCAGGCATATCACAAAAGATTAAAACATTATGTGATGAATACAGTTCACGCTCCATGATTCTAAATGAAAACAACGGTAAAACTCTCATCTCCAGTGTCGCTTAAAATCTGTCCAAAGCCTCAATCAGCCACCAACTTTTAATTCTGGCCTTGAACAGGAAACATAATTTTTACAATACTTTTAAAAGAGATACCAACAGAACAGAATTTCTAGATGCAATGAAAAATCCTCTCCGTAGATCTGCTATTAATAAATTTCGCCTAGGAAATCATCGACTCCGTATCGAAACAGGGAGATACATTGTACCCAAGACTCCCGAACATTAGCTAACATTTAAGAATCTGTTCCTTACGTCAATCCAATGAAGCTGAAAATGAATGTCACGTTATGTTATCTTGCACTCTGTATGATACGCTTCGCAACAAATTTTTTGATGAAATCATTACCAAATATAACTTTTTTAATGATTCAGATGTGAAATCAAAAAGTTTGTTCCTATTTAACAATATTGATCCATTTATTTGTAAATCAGTTGCTGCTTTTATTTTTGAGATTATGAATTGTAGACACGACAATTAATGTAATTTCAAAGGTGACTTAACTAATTAACTGAATTAATTTAAATTCTTTTCTTTTTTTTAAGAGAATAGGTAATGCCATGTATGTAAATGGAATACTTTAATAAACTGTTGTTGTTGTTGTTGTTGTAATTTGATTTTAATTGTTACAATATTTACTCATTTTAATTAGTAGTGTCTCCATTTAGTGGTTCCTCTACTACTACGTAAGTTTGTCACAAAGGTATTGATTGATTGACAAAGAACACAGCACTTTAACAGATTGGTGTGCGATTGGTTTTCTGATTTTTCGTGATATTTAACCTGATTTCACAAAGAAGTTATCAGCCAATTGTACCTGACTCAATAATTTGTAAATTATTCTATTTGTACTGAAACATTTAACAGAAAAAGAGAGTGTAAACTCCCAGTTGTTAGAAGAAAAAAGTGTAAACTGACTTAAACATGGATTTCTTTTTTTAGTAATTTTATGAGTATTTTCTGGAGTTGCCCGTGCATTCTTGTCATGTTTATATGTATACAAATGAAATTCTTCCCGGCCCTGAAATTTGCAAAAAAGGAATTACAATATTACCTTCCTTTGTTAGCAGACCGTTCAGCTTCTCTGTATTTGTTCTATCCTGCAAGAGTCAAACATATGTCACATAATTTTCACCCCATCTACTAACTGCTGCATTGTCTACTGCACCTGGCAGTCACTGCTACTGCAATGCTAAAGGCATACTAGCCACCTGTTTACCCTACTGGCTTTTCCTTTCAGCTTTGGGTTAAGCTACATGTACAGTACGCAGAAGTACAGCTAAAAAAACTAATCATTGTCAATTAAGTCCAATAAATCAATAATTATTCCCCAATAATTATATGGCTGCTGCCCCACGCTAACGCTACATGCACTTTAATTTTTTTAAAACTTCAAGGATTTAAAGTATCATCCAGGGTAAAAAATCATCATTTTTCGAAATTTGCAATTTTTGATGACTAAATAGAGCTCATCAAGAGCTTTGTTTTAAAAACAATTCTAGGAAAAAATGTTTTTTCTTTGAAGACTTCTGGAGCGCAAAAGTTTTTTCTATGCTTATTATTTTAATTGATCGTTGGCAAGTCCTGTCGTACTTGATACGCATGCCGCTGTTGAACCAAGCCTATAATCACGCAATTTGACAGAAAAAGTGGTCTACAAGCATAGTGCTCACTGTTCTTCCCTGGATTTTGCAAGTGAATGCCTCCAAAGAAGAAAAAGGAGCTTGTCCGTTTTCGTCCTCGACTCCAAGACGAAAGAAGACGACAAAATCGTTTTGCAAAGAGTGGGCTTCGAAATTTCAACAGAGAGCGACAAGGGCTCCTACTACAATCAAGAAAAATGGCTGAAAGATGACAAAGCTCCTGAAAAACCTATTGAAACTACCGCGGAATCGAGTTTCACGAGTTTCTTAGCGAGCGGAGCAAGCCTTTTAACCTCTCTTAAGCGGCGAAGCGGCCAAGCGAGCGACAGGTCCCGCGCCGTATAAAAATCGGACGAAGGACTGTTTTGAAAGTCTCTTGTAGGGGGAGAGTAGCCTGCGAACCGCAGACGTATTTTCGGCCGTCGCTTCTCTCCCTCCGGTGCGAAAATGAAAACTGCCCGTCGCAAATAACTCAGACTGTTCACAGTGCCCTGTTTTTTCGTGAGGTCGTTTAGATATACCGCGTCTTACCGTCACGGCTATCGTACCGAGGGGGCGGGCGTCGGGGATAGACTAGCCTGTTCCAAGCGTTCAGATGGTGGAGAGCGGTGCGAAGTAAAGAAAGCGATGAAAAGTAGAGGGGGACTGGGGAGAGAGGTGCGGGAACACCTCTCCCCCTCCCTCGCTTTTATTTTTTCGCACTCCTTTTTACTTCGCACCGCTCCCCACTGTCTGAACGCCTGGAACAGGCTAGGGATAGACCTATTCGGCTAACTCAATGTTGTACCCAATTCAAATCGCCCGGGGTTAAGATTCTTTGTGTACTGTATTTGCATGATAATGTTGCATTTACATTTAAATGATATGGAAATTCCTGAAACAAAACGTTTTATCCCCAAAGGCTTTGAATTGGGTACAACATTTAGTTAGCCGAATAAGTCTATTATAGCTCTAGGAGGGGAGGAGGGGGGGAGGGGGGGGGGGGGCGAGAAAAATAAATCTCGCTTCCTCCCAAACCGCCCCCGCCCCTCTAAGTAGTTTTGACACTCATGCAAGATGGCAGCAAGGCGCTCGATCTTGATGATCTTACGGAAAAATAGAAGACAGTGAACAGTCTACAAATAACTAATGATGCTTTCTCGAAAACAGAAAAGGACTTTGAAATAAACTGTTTGTCTGCTGTCGGGTTTCGTTTGTAACGTTTTCCTGCTGTGTCACTATTGTTGTTCTTTCTCTGTTATGCATCAACATTGACAGCTTTGGTGTTATAATCTCGTCACGGGTAATACGCCGCCAAAACTCTTTTTCTCCTGTTTTCTCGACATGAAAATCAGGGCAAGTTGAGGGTACGTTTTAATCTCCAAGTCGGCAACCCGTGAACTAATTTGACTGAAATTTGACCAACTTACTGTCAGATAGTTTTACTGAAAAACCGTGTCTGCGAATTTTGATTTCTTTTCACGTTTTTGAGTTAAAGTATTTTTTCACAGGTACTGCTAGTGATTTGTCATCCCTGACTTCAACTGCTTATAACCCACAAAAGAACAAACGCATTTGACAAAAATCTGAGACACGGTTTTTTAGTCAAACGTGTTATAAGAAGCGAATGCGATCTTAATTGGCTTCTTCCGTTTATTTTTGACTGGCCCGGACTTAAATTTACAGTGACAACCCCTTTCACAAAAAGCTTCTCATTTCCGAATCGCGTTAATATTTTGATTTTTTAAAAGGAATAAGCAATAATCTGGAACTATTAAGCTTTCAGAAAATGTACGGTTTATGGGGCCGTAGGCCGAGGTGGATAACACCCTCCGAGATCTCTATAATTCTTCATATCATACGAAAGCCGAATTCAATAATTGTTTTATTATTCATTCAAAATAATTCCTAGTTTAAAAGCATAACTAAAACATGCTTACCTTCATTGATCAGGGCCGAGTTGTTCAAAGCTGGGTTAAGATAACCCAGGGTTAGTGCGAGATTTGAATTCAGATTTGAAAGCTTAAAAAGCATTTCAGTTTTAATTCTTTTGGTCTACAAGTTGGTGATTGAAAGCTCTAAATATAACAGAGAAAATTATCCGAGAAAATGCTTTTGCACACAAGAAAGAGAAACCCGGGTTAAATTTAACCCTGGGTTAAGCGCTAATCGACCTTCGAACAACTGGGCCCAGATCGATGTTAAGTTCATCTTCGATAGCGCACGTTTAGGGTTGTTCAGCTCCGCAAATATTCTCCAAATAGCAGATGTCGCCCTTCGAGTTGTCTTGTTGCTGTTCTTGTAATGTTTTTGGCTATTATTTCGCCTAGTTCTTACTCTTGGAACGAGTGAAATGTTCGCCATTTTTGTTTTCACAACCAAAACAACTCAACCTCGTCCCCAGGTCTTCTCGGTTAACGGTGCATTAACCTGCAAGAAGGCTGCTCGTTAAACACAAAATTCTTCCAAATTTGGTCATCAGTGACTAATCATGGTGAATTATGCGTGTGCTTTAAGCCAATCAGAATTGGGGAAATATTTTGAATGAATAATAATTTTTTTTAACAACAAAGTACATGCATAATTCACCATAACCAGTTACTGATGACCAAATTTGAAAGAATTTTGTGTTTAGCGAGGAAATGACGTCAAACATGCAACCTGGGGATGAGGTTGAGTTGTTTTGGTTGTGAAAAAAAAAAAGGCAAACATTTCACTCGTTTCAAGAGTAAGAACTACAGCTGGAACTGGGCGAAATAATAGCTAAACACATGGCAAAAACAGCAAGAAGACACCTCGGAGGGCGACATCTGCTATTTGGAGAATATTTGCGGAGCTGGACAAACCTAAACGTACACTATCGAGGAAGAACTTAACATCGATGCGGGTATAAGCACTTTGTAGCTATGTTTTAAACTAGGAATTATTTGGAATGAATTCTCGGATAGTGTTATCCACCGAGGCCTTTATAACACTCTCCGAGATCTGCTTAATAGGCCATTTTACAGTTATGGATGGAAGCGAGGCTGAGGGTGACCTTGTTTTGATACAAACCTTCTTTGCTTTGTTATGGAAATTGTTCTTGAAAAATACTGGTTAGCATAAGAATAACTTGATTTACATAATAAAGCAGGAAGGTTTGTATCAAAACAAGGTCACCCTCAGCCTCGCTTCCATACACAACTGTAAAATGGCCTATTCTTCATATCCTAAGAAAGCAGAATGCATTAATTGCTAAATAACAAAAAAAGTCGGAAATAATAAAGACAAGGCACACCCACTGCTCTCCTTTTTGAAATCTGGACATTTGTTTTGCTTTTCTTGGCGTTATTGCCTTCACTACACACTGAAATGTTATAGTGATCATGGTGTTGCACGCATACACTATACCTTGTTTTGATTCTGCATACTTCCAGCCAAAGTATTGTCCTTCATTAATTCTTCATTTTCTCTCTCAAGGGATTTTATGGCTTCCCTAATGGGAATGTGTGTGATTATAAGGTAAAATATAATACGAAATTAATCATCAAATCATTTATTGCTCAACAAGGGCATAATACATGGGACATTTGAAGAGCCGTTATTAATATTGAAAGCTATAAATCTATCTGAATGCTTTGTTTAAATGTTTATTTTGCCCTAATTCCATCAGTATGCATGGACTGCATGAGTCAGTCTCAAAATTTGCCCTCTATCTAATCAGCTAGTTATACATATATATATTTTAGAGCCACAATTTTCCACACTTTTACTTGAATTAAACTTACAATGTATAATGTTTTCATAGCTTTTGGCCACCATTTAATGCATCTTTTTTCTCACCACTTGCAACAAATACATAATGTGATACGGATGTACACAGCTGTTTGATTTGTCAATATCAACACTCAGCCAGTTTTAATCAACAACAAAAAGGGGGGTGGGTAGAGTTTTTGTTAAAACGTACCTCTGGGGGGGGCTGCGGGGCTTAATATGATGGAGGGTATTGGCTCAAGTGCAGAGGAGATAATCCCCAGATGGCATTACTCCATTACAGCTGTTTTGGTCTCATAACGCAATGCTCCTCCCCAACAAAAGGCTGCTCAAATTCGAACCACATTCCTTTCCTGATTTGAGCCAATCACAGCTATGGTTCTACTTTCTGGAAATGCTCCGCACCAAATTATCCTTTCACAAGCTGTCCAATCATAGCCTGCATTCTAACATATCATGTGTGGTGTCAAGATGTATCGCCCCTAGAAAGCCGTTAGTTGTCTCGTCATGTACATGTACATTACATGTATAGCTTTTGTTTTGAATAAAACATACTTGAAATTGATTTGATTTGACTACCTAACCAGGGTGAGAATTGAATTTGACATCCATTTAAAGCTGTATTTGTGTTTTCTTTTAAATATAATATCTGGTCTTCCTCTACACTGTTACATGTGACAGGACTGATGAATAATGCTCATACTCTGATAACAATAAATTAACTTTTTCTTGCCAAATTTTTTTCCTCCAAGGAAAATTTACTGACCCAGGTTTTGCACCAAGCCATTGAAAGTTGATGTTGATCATTTCAGTGCATAGTGTGTTTTTCAGTTTTTTCTGTGGAAAACTTTAATCTTTATGTCAGTGTTTATGTACCCTTCCATTTAAAGTGTAGTTTTTTATTTGAACATACTACATGTATATATTTATAATTATAATAATTGTTAAGGTATCTGTAAATTATTTTCAAGTACATGAACCTTCGCTTTAATGGTGTACAAAATTGAAGAAATCTCACAGGTCAGCAGGATAAAATACAATAGCTTAACTGAAACTTACAGTTGTCTTCGTATTTGATTCTGTGTCTCTTCGCTGTAAGCCCTTCTGTCTCCTTCAATGATACGATACTGCCGCTGGAGTTTCGCAAGCTCCTGTTCAGCTGTATTACAAAAATAATAGTAAAAAATTTAGTCAGGGCTAAAGGCGAAGCTCTCATTAATATACGCATACTTTACTCAAAAAATAAAATTGTTTAATGCTAAATGTCGACAGCAATGACAACGGCGAAAAAAAGTCAACTCTAACTAGCAAAAAAACATCTTTGCACGTGCAGCACACTTTTTTTGTACATTTCTTTGCCACTGCTGTGGCAATGTGAAACTTCCCTCATGGAGAAAATGTCGCATGTGCTCACAAAAAATTTTGTGCTTGTGTTCCAGTTTGTTTTTTTTTTTCACTGCCACTTATATTATCACCTTGCTGGCTGCTAACTTTCTCTTTTTCTCACGGCCGCCATAAAATTTTCATGTTGTTCTTCCAATGAAATTCATCTCCTTTGTTTTTTCTCTCTTGCTGTAGCTCTCTGTTGCTCTTTTTCTCAATGAGCTTTACTATCTCGCCTGTCACTAGACAAAAAAGTCCTTTGTCTGATTTAATATGGTATGGGACGAAAGTCAACCTCTTGTGACTTAGTCGTTTGCTCGGCTGCTTTGCGGCCTAAAAAGCTTGCTCCGCTCACTTAAACTCATGAGGTCAACTTATGGCAAGTCCAGCCTGTCGCCTTAACTTTCTCATTTTCTTTGCCTTTGTCTTTCTCTATATTCCAAATTTGTGGACGGGACAATTAATCTAAGCTTAATATTTTAGACAACATGGATACAGAAACAATTTCCTCTTTTTGTTTTGTCGAATCTTTTTTGACTCTTTAATACCGTCTCTGCTTCACAACTTGCGGGCAGCCATTCGATTTGCCACCAAAAAATCCTCGAGTTGCACTTGGGTTGCAATACCTGTTGATGGAGTTATTTAACATTGGTATGCCTGTGGTGTGGAAGACAAATGGACGGATGGACAGACATACAGTCAAGTGACTCAATACGCCATAAAATCGATGAGTTGTAAAATGAGATGATTATAGTCTTCATCTTTTTTGAGTAGTAATTTCGAATAGTGCTATCAGTAAAATATAACCTAAAAACGCTGCTTTTTCGAGTTTTAATCTACATGTATGGAGCATTGTGAGAGTTCATTTCATGTTACAGGCTGTCAAGCCCTAGTCCAATCACAGTTTCAATTAAAAAATTCAACCAAATTATCAATGTGCTATACATGTTTGCGTCATTCGCACGTGTGCTCACCTCTTTTTTTCTTTCCCTCCAAACATGTTAGAGATGTAAAATAATAATCAGAGGATTATAAACCCCTTTCTGGGTTGCTGGTATATTGGATGATTAAATGCCCTTGGCTGAGGCTTATGTCCTCAAAATTTCACATCGATTTGCCTTCGAGGCTTCGCTTCTCGGGCAATTAACATATATATTTTTTGGACAATGTCCCTGAGCCAAAGCCATTACCTTACAATGTACCAGCTGCCAGAAGGGGTTTTAATTATTCACTAAATACCAAAGATTATAATTTATTAAATGTTGAAAATATAGCTTAATACTCGTAAGTACAGTACCAAGTCCATCAACCTCTGCCTCACTTCCTTCAGATCTTCTGCTGTGGACCCTCTGCATCCTTACTTCTTAAAATCTCTGAAAATTAAGGTGATAAACATTTTCACTTGCCATAGGTACATTTGTACAATAATTATATTATTAGTAACATAATTCTACTAATTATAATATTCTATAATTTGCAAATCCCACATTCTGATTTAAAGCTAACATAATCAGGCTACTGTCAAAAAAAGCAAACAAAAAGAGAAACATGCTTTTTGGAAATAAAATACACTTGATTATAGAAGTTGCGAGAAATATTAAGCTATTATTAATCTATTATGCCATTATACAGCTGTACATGACTGTGCAGCAGGTAAATTTTGCTGATTTAATTTTTTTTAAAGTGTCAATTATCTTGGTTTCCCTAAACTATAGATTCTTGAACCAGTAGACCTTATTCACGATACCCGCCATCTTTGCTTGTGCTTAAAGACTTATATGCAATGTCAGGTGGTTTCTTTGAGGGCAATGTTACATCTGCCCATACATTTGGATTGTACAAGAAATCGGGGTCGATCAGTTTGTTTATTTGAGACAACAGAAAATGAAGAACTATGACATGGCTGAAATTAATTGTTGCACGATTTTACGTAGGAATCTACTGTATTGTAAAGCTTTACCTTGACTTAAAAATATACACACAAACATATTAAACCACTGTGACCTTTAGACGTTCAGTATAATTTGCCTTGTTAATTATGGATCCACTTGTTAGTATTTTACTTATTTTATGTGTGAAACGTATGCTTTTAACAGCATAGTTGAAAATGGCAGACACAACTGGTACTGCGCGTAGCTTACTTTAGAGCAGTACTGTAGTCCCAGTCGCAGGTACTCCAGATTTCAAGTGATTCAGGGGTTGATTGAAGGATTTTTTGGGTTTGAAATGTTCGATTCTGGGGATTTTTTTAAGGTGGAAAAATTTGGCAAGTATTTTTTTGGGTGGCATTAAGCTTGTAGGTAGTACAGCACTGTATAGGGATTCAAAACATGCAATCTGAAGATTAGGGTAGCGCAGTTCTCTATATCCCGGCCGTGTTAAGTTCTTCAAATAAAGTATACAGATTAAGATAAACAGACGTTCTTGGGTGCCTCAAGTGTTGTTGAAATGACTTCCAGATGCGGAAAAAATAACGTCAAATGGTATATGATGATGAATAAACAAACACCAACGTTCAGTTTCTAATGTTTTTATTTTTCGTGTTTTTTCATTCGTACATATACATACATACATCATTTATTTGAAAAGGTCAAAAGTAAAAAGGAAGCCCTTTACATAATTAATTAATAAATTTATTAAAAACTAATTACAAACTGTAACCATTACATATCAGTTGCATATAAAGACAAATTTATATACAAATAAAACAATGGTTTAAAAATACATAAAATCCTCAATATTCTTGTTTGAGTTAACGCAAGTTCCTTTTAATTTTTGAAAGCTAATTTGGTCGATTTCCTTACATTTCGATTCTTTAAGGCACTTATAAAGAGATCTTTATTTACCAGATTTCTAACAACAACAACAACAGTTTATTCAGTTGTCAAATGAGTTAGGTCTTATATGTTACCCACAATTAGCAGAGCTACTCTAGGTGGGCAACAATACAATAATTGTCTTCTATAAAGTCGGCAAAAGAATGTAAGTAAAGAGAAAGCAAAAATAAAATGAAATGAATAAATAAATAAATAAAAGGTAGCACCTATAGTTATAAGGAAGGATGAGAAACACTTTAACTAAATAAGGAGTTCAGGTAGGAACTGGTAATGGTACTCATATCAACATACTTTAGTCTCCAAAACCTTGATCAGTTAAAGTTATGTAATTACTTTTACCCTTGAAAGGGTCTTTGGGCCGTTCAGGTAACGTAAGAGGAGCATTGTTATTCTAGCATTGTAGCATTGTTATTTAAGGCACTCCATACCACCGGACCCATAAAAATTAGGGATTGCCAGCCAAATTCAGTATTCATTTATGTCTCATGTTCATTAAAAGGCCCCTCTTGCTAGATTCATAGGTCTCGAAAAAAGATGACAGTCTACGTTCTGGTCCACTGGTCACAACCTTGAACATTTCAAATGCTACCCTCTTCTTATGTATATAGGCTATAGGTTATGCCATTTAACGAGATAATAGAACCATGCAGGTGACAATCATCAGCATTATGATTGGTGGGAATATTATGAATTTGTCTAGCAGCTTTTACATGTGGTTTCTTCATGTCGTCAAAGAGGGCTAAGTATAGAGCAGCTTCCCCAGACAGATATACCTACTTAACAATTAGTTCATGCGTCAGCATGCGTGTGTTGAGATCATGAGCACGTGGGAAGTTTGGAGAGTGTGAAAGAGGCATAAAGAGTTGCTCGCGATGCAGCAACTCTAGCTTCTTGAGTGCTCTCCACACTTCCCAAGAGCTCAATATCTCGACATACGCACAGCAGAAGCATGAACTAACATTGTTTTATAAGAATGTCAAAGTGATCACTGCAGAAGTTAACTTAAATTTTAATTATTGTAGTATGCGCTTTAACCAGTATGCAGTGTCTACGTGACTATATTTTCTTACCTCTGAGTTATGTTTTTGCCTTGAAACTGAGAGAAAGTTTACTCAAGTCGCTTAAGATAACTCTCAAAAAGATGGTAGACCCCATATTGAGGTGCCGGAAAACTGTTCAGTTTCACCCAAAAATTATTTTTGAAAGAAATAACTTTCCAAACAGAATGCCATAGCTCGCACAACTCATGCAGATGTCAACAACAACACTCAACTCTTTTCCCTAACTATTGGTTAACAAATTCAAAAGTTTTCTCTTAAATTTACATCATAAAACACAATTAGTTAACACGTCATCATGTACTCACTTGATTAGGAGACGTCTTGAGATGAGAGCGGCTTAGTAAGGGCTTAACAGATAAGTTTGCTGGAAGCAAGTTGGCCTGACCTTTTCTTTTTTTACATATATGCATGTTATCATTGCAAAATTAATTCAATCAAGATTGTGTTCCTGTATGTTCCAGTTACAAATGTGTACCAAAATAATTTTTCAATACTGATTCAAAGAACAATTTATACCTCAGGACTTTAACTCTTGTATTCAATTTTTTAAAAACAAACCATTGTACCATAAGATGTGATTTTGAACAATCGTTATTCTCATAAACTTGTTTAAATGTAATTTTCATGCTTTTTCCAGATGATAATCAATCATATTTAAATTTGCATATACTTTATGCATTGGATGTTGATTGATTACATGATGTAAAACCTGTAAACTCCTAGAAATCCTAGGAATTCCAAAAATTCTTAGGAATTGCTAGGGACTTCTGGGAATTTCTAAGAATTTTGTGCACTTTGTAGGTTGGAATTCCTAGGAATCCCAAGTCTAGTTTCATTTGCACTTGGAATTTCTGGGAACTTCTAGGAATTTAGAACCAGAACTTTTTAAACTGGAAATTCATAGGAATTCCAAGTCCAAATTTACTGTGAAAATTCCTAGGAATTCCAAGAGTTATTCTGCAAGGGTACTGCGGGCAAATGAGAGTGAGGTGTACATACAGGAGCCAGAAATGCCTTTGTACCGGTAAATTAAAGGCAGCTAATAATTGAGACAATGAGTGTTACTCAACTTGATTTAGTGCCCTCACAAGCTAATTCCCCCACCCAAGATGGAAATACTACACCATCAGTACATTAGGACCAGTTCAAACAGCAACAAGCTCAAGTCTTAGTCAAACGTCTGTAGGTGGAACTGTGTCTTAAGTATGTCATCCTAGAATGACAGTGTCGCAGCATCAGGGTTGTCAAAAGTAGCCAACTGCCAGTGAAAATCGCTGTCTACTTGGTTAGTATCATGCAGCCTGCTTAACTCTGCTTGGCATTTCTTTACGGATGGCATTTTTTAAATAAAATATCCCTGGACTGGCCACTAATTACTTTGACAACTCAGCCATCTACTTCAAAACTTTCTGACAACGTTAACCCCGCAGCTGTGAATCATGCAGTTAGCAATGTTCAAGTACAACTCAAGAACCTCACTAGTCCATTGGACAAGTGAAGTTCAAAATGTTTTTCTAACCCCGTCACTTGGTCAACCATGCATGGCTGCTCATCTTTAGTGATGGAAGTGATCTAGCCTATGATTTTGCAGCCTACATATCAGATGGCAACTTGACAATGGTGACTACTCGTGTCGATTTGTTGTGGAAAAGTGCCGTATTGCCCCAGTGAACAAATTGTCCACCCCCCAGATGGAATTGAATGCTGCTGTGTTGTCCAAACGAGGAAGAAAGGTCATTGAGAAAGAGATGAGGTTCAACTTTGAAAGAGTGTTTTACATTGTAGACTCTGAGACTGTATTGAACATGATCAACATGCAAGACCTGCACTCGTTTTAAGGTGTATGAAGGGGTCAGAAATTATTGGTGAAATTCAAGCAGCAACAAATGGTGATGTTTTCTGTTGGGCCTGGATATCAGGGCACAACAACAGAACAGATGGGTTAACACGCGGACGCATCCCTGATGAATTGAATAAGGAATCTCACTGGTGGAATGGCCCTCTGTTCAGTACCAACCCGTACAAAACTACAGGGGCCTCAAGTGTGGGCTACAGAAGGAAGAACCACTCCCAGGGGGGAAAATGATCTGTAGTACGGCCACAGTCACAACACACCCTGCTTTTATTCACTATGAAAGATTCATTGACTTCAATCAGATCATTTGAGTTAATAGTGGCAAGATTGAAAAACATTGCTAGAAGCAAAACTTTCCATGCTGGAATTATGCCGTACTGTGCTCTGCACCAGAAAGAAGCAGAGGACTTCATTGTGAGGGATGTCCAGAAATCCATTCACGGTGAGCTCAAGAAGGGTAGCAACAAGGAGGCAGAAGAGGTCACTATGCTAAACTGAGGCCTGTACTTGATGTACAGGTAAATGGAATGTGGGTTGTTGGTGAAAGGCCAACAAGGTACAAGTAACGCAATGTCATGCCGGATTCATCCCTACAGAAGTTG